GAAAATATTGTAACACATTGAAATAAGAAAATTGGAGATCATTGCGTGTTATATACGTGTAGAAAGGAAATCAATCTTCTTTTTGTAAAAGGAAAATAGAAAACCATTAAAAAAAACACTTATATAAGAAGATCGCTCTTGCTTGTAATTGTAAATCCCTTTTTTTGCCTCTCTGTTTTCTCTTCTTTACGTCTCTCGCGACTCTAGGGTTTGTTTTAGGGTTAATCAGGTCTCCAAGAAAATCGGAAGATACTTTGTTTTCTTGCTGGACACGAGACTTACCAAAGTTTCTTCTTTGATGGATTTCGTTACATGACTTATATCCATCGAAAATTTGTCTCTGATCTGTGTGATAATTTCGTGGCTTTAGATACAGTAACTTGAGAAGATTTAGGGCTAAAGACTGCTTCGTTTGAAATCCTTTTTGCAACTCTTTCAACGCCATGGAAAGTAATAAGGTTGAAGCTAGAAAAGCAATGGATACTGCTGAGAAGAAACTTTGGAAGAATGATTACGTGGGAGCGAAGAAATTCGTTAACAAGGCTCAGAATTTGTATCCTAAGCTTGAGGGTTTGAGACAAGTATTGATGATGATCGATGTTCATATCTCTGCATTAAAGAATGGAAAAGGAGAATCAGATTGGTATGAAATCCTCGGTGTTGATTCTTTGGCTGATGATAAAGCATTGAAGAAACAATACAAGAAGTTGGCTCTTTTGCTTCATCCAGACAAGAACAAGTTTCATGGCGCAGAAGAAGCGTTTAAGCTTGTTTCAGATGCTTGGTGTCTATTATCTGATAAAGCTAAGAGAAAAATTTATGATCTAAAGAGGAAGTCTAAACAAGTTAAACAGAAAAAGAAGAGTTGGAAGAAGCAGAAACCACCACCACCAAAGTCACATGAGGAGCCACATTTTTATGAAAACTGGGATCGAAATACGAAAGAAGACGATGATTGGTATCGAAAAGCGAAAGAAGAGGAGAAACGGAGAAACTACGGTAATTGGGATCAAAATCCGGAAGAAGAGGAGGATCCAAGAAGTTATTATCATAAAAGTGATTCCGTTGATATATTTTGGACAGTATGCAATAGATGCAATATATATTGTAAATTTGAAAGGGCTAATCTAAACAAAACCTTGTCTTGTCCAAACTGTAGTCATGATTTCGTTGCGAGAGAGATCATTCCAGAGATGATCAATGGGAGGCCAGTCTATGGATTCTCAACTCCTTACCGACAAAAACAACAGCCAAGTGATACTTCTTCTTCAACAACATCTGATAGCGCGAATCGAGCAAGAGAAAGAGTGATAAGAGGTATTGAAGAGATTGCTGCTGCTTTTGCTAGTGGAAATAAAGATCTCTACGGTTGAAGTAGAGAGGTCTTTCCGATGACAAACATGAATTGGAAACTCTGCTTTTCAAGAAACCGATGAGAGATGTGAAATAAGAAGTAAGACAATTACATTTTGAAAGTTGAATAATCCTCTGCTTTTTTTGTCTTGCAAGGAAGTTTTTATTGTTATATTTTTTGTTCTTGATGAAGGTAAATTGATCAAAGTTGCTCCAGTTATCACCAATTGTGTTTCCAAGTTTTTTACAAATTGCTAACTAATATTTTCCTTTTCATTGTCTTAATTTAATCTTTGGCACTTTGGAACAACACCATGACCCTGCATATGGTTCTGCCAAGAGAGAGGGAGCTCCTGAGAATGAACAAGGACCAGGTGATGGAAATCGTTGAGCTAATGGCCATCAAAAAGATTGTCTTTTCACTCAATAACATTTCTCAAGACCTTGCTTGAGGTATTTTTTGTTTAGGTAATTGAAATCTCTAATTATAAGACTGATGTTTCTAAAGTGGATGAAATATATCTGTTATTAATCTGTTTCACTATCTACCTTGTAATTTTAGCTTTGCTCTATTTGAGGTTGTTTTAATCCACATAAACCTAATATGATTCAAACTGAATTGAAATAATCGGTCCAAAAATTAAACCATATTTCAATACGGTTTGAATGAATCCAAATTTTAACCAAACTACA